TACGCGATTGTTAATGGTTGTACAATAATTACCGGGCATATGAAGATCAAAGAGGGAAATAATAATTGTATGATTGATATTTTGTACGACAGAAGTACAGAAGTAGGCTGTGTGTATGATATTTCAGGTTATCAAATGATTCGTCTCAATCAGGATATATGATCTAAAAAAAAAAAACGTTATAATTTAAGCATCACAAGCCTTGCATCGGTTAAAATGACAAATTTTATTACAAATCACAGAGATCTTTTTAATAGTCGAATTTTAACTGAATCAATCGAAAATTGGCCCTGGATAAATGAACCTGTTGGTATGAATTTTTAAATTTATAAATGTAGTGTTTGAGAAAAAAATTCAATAACAAATTAGATTTTTTTTAGAAAAATATAAACGCCAAGCCAAATGGAATTTAAATATTTTCAAACACTATGTGTCGACACCCCTTTATTCGTATCGGCGGTATAACAAGTCAAGATCGTGTGTAAAGATATCTGTGAAAGGTATACGCACTTATCACATTCTCAGGAGCTGTCTTCTTGTTTACGATTGGCCTGACTCATTTTATAATATGATACGGATTTTATTATATGCTTGTTGGAGAAATAATTTCTTTGATTGTAAAGATACAAGTTTAAAATACCCTCCAAATGTCAGGTTTATTTTAGAATTGAATTTAAGCGAACAAATCGGGTGGCTGCCCTGTTTGAACTGGTAAAACGTTATATTCTTTATCCGTACTTCAGTACTTAATACTCATATATATACATATATATTTATTTATCTACCTTGTTTCAAAAAAAAAAAAAAAAAAATTTATTCACAAGGTCGAAAAAACTCTTTTCGCTAATTTCACATCATGGAATATTCACTTTTCAAAGTACATTTTTTTCAGTCCTCGGTGGTGCTTATTCGGCACTTGGAAGATATAATAAAGAATACGTTTGTATTACTTTTCCTTCTTACTCTTATTAATTACTCTTATTAATTACTCTTATTAATTATTGTAAAAAATTTTTAGGCAATGAGAGCTAAAAAATTTGCGATTAACCAAATCAAACTTGCTAAAAAATTACAAGATCCTGAATTGGAATGTAAATGTTGGATCTATTATTCAGAGGGTTTAATTCAACTTGGAAAGTTTAAGAAAGCCAAAATGATTATAGAACAACAAAAAACTTTTGTAACCAATGTCTTGCACGGTGATCAATTGGTAAATTTTAATAACTTTTTTTAGTGTAAAACAACTTCGTTTAGACCTAAGTATCTTACTTTTTTCTATTAGATCATGAGCATGTGTGAAAATGCAAATATGAAATTAAATGCTGCTATTACAAAAAACCCTTTTGATTGAATATAAATGTTCTACGTGCGTACTTACCAAAATTTTATTTGATCGTTCTATGTATACAAAATCACATGCACAAATTGACTTTGTTCGTGTAAACGTAGCGTAATGTTATGTTACGTACGTACGTACATGTTACCAGTTACATAATATCATAATAATTAGATAATTAGATTCTTTAGTATTTATGATTTTTTATTGCTTAAATGTTTCGAATTATTAAGTTATGTCGTACTAAATTTGCCAAAGCAGGTCTTATTATCTATAAACCGGACTGTGTAACAAAATATGGTTGGTAACAAAAAACGAATATCGTAATATACAAAAGAATGTCATTATTGTGTACATAGAACAAATTAAAAGTGATATAGCGATAGTGTTATTAACTGTTATTAACCTAGCACGATCGGAATTTAATTTTCATAAGGTAAGAACTTACCAAATACATACACTCATTGGATAATACGTACAACTTACGTATGATTAGAAAGATTTTGCCTTTGGTGGGAATGAAGAATTAGCCAGGGCGGCTCCAAAATGCCAGTGACGTAAACCATTTTCACTAATTAAATGCATATATTATTAATAATATAATATTACATGATTGGTGAAATGTCTGTGGCATTCATTATGCCACTGGCATTTTGGGGCTAATTCGGAATAAAATACGTGTACGTAATAATATCCCGAGCCGTTTGGTAATGGTGGAAACGAAGCTTCCTTATTCACGTACGTAACTAATTTGAAATTTATTAAATATTGATCGTGATATCACATAAAATAGTAATTAATTATCACTCTACTTCCTACGTACGTACGTACGTACGTACGTACGTACGTACGTACGTAATGAATATGTAGTCTAAATTTTTGGATCCCTTGCAGTATAGGTGACACCACTAATAAAATGTATTATTATTAATCAATTGATTTAGAATAGGTGTCACCCATACTGCAAGAGATCCTAAATTTTTTATTTAGGAATTAAATCATCTAAAACTGCATGCATCCTTGACAAATTGGACACTTGCATTAAAAACAAGATTATTGGTTGAAAATTAATTGTGAATCTAGTTATGGACGTTTTATTACTGTATTACTCAAAACTAAAATCAAAATCCACCAATTAGAAGAATGATAAATGTTTCTTCTGCAGAATTTCAAACTCTCCTTATATTCTTGAGTACCTGAGTAAAAAAGTCTTCGATCACATTTTTTCTGTTCATTAAACACTGATTACACGATACAAGTGGACTAAAAAACATCAAACATTTATTTAAACGGAAAGGTTTGAGCTGATTATGATTTAGAATTGTACTTACGCAGGTACAATTTACCTTATTTAGTTGCTGCCTGCCATTATTCTTATTTTAGGATGCTATTTATTAAACAATGATGATTATTATGGGAACTAAAATTCAAATTTTCAGCCTCGCTCATGATTATTTTCAATAAAGTGAACACAAATCCATTTGCTCAAGAAGTCGTGTGATCTTTCACAATTCTTGTATGTAAGTACGTACGTACGTACGTAGCAGGTAGCATTATTAATTGTATGTGTATAATCAATGTTTATAATTTAAAGTGGTTCATATGAAAAGCAATTACGTAGAAATACAAAAATTTACCGAATAGCTCTCGAGGAGGTACATTCTATGAAACTGAGTACCGGTACAGTTCGCACTCTTTATAGAAGTCATCAGACTTAGAAAAATTCCTTCAATATAACAGATAGTTTATACTGAGAGAACACCATAAGTACTTTATTATTATTCAGTATCGAATCTTCATATCGAGAGTTCACTATAACAATAAAGAGAATTGTACTAAATTTGGATGTAATGAATTTATAAGTGATCATAGTAGGCTGCCAAAAAAAACACATTATTATTGAGACTAATTAACCTACTACTATGTTCTGTTAGAATGATTATCAAACTATATATAACTTAAAACTCTTTTCAATGATCATTAAAATTTGAAAAAATAAATAAAAAATAGAAAATATAGATAAAAATTTTTAAAATAAAACCAAAACATAGACAAAATTAGCACAAAGCACAAGAGAGCAACTAATACAACAACCACTACAACAAAAAACAACAGCAATACAAAAAATACAGCAAAAAGATCAAATACAACAACCAGTTTTTAATAGATGTAGTGAATAAAAACAACTGGTTAAGATATACAATAATAATATATATATACTAATTTATGTATCTAATCTATCAATAAACAACAATATAAATACCTAAAAAAAGTTAAACCTAAAAAAGTTAAATACATATAACAATCAACAAAATACAACTTAAAGCAACAAATATCACTTTAACACTTTATCTACTTCTACAACACATATAACACAACCAAAAAATAGGCAAAATAGTTTACCTTCATCAAAATGCACAATGACATTATACATTGTAATGTAACAAGTTAGACCTTTGGTTAACTAGCTACAATACTTGACTAGTGTACGGGTAGTTAAGAAATGTGT